TATATTGTTCCTTGCAGAAAGACTCATTGTTTTTGCTACTAACACTGAGATGTTGGCGCATGCATCTCTAAATCTGTGGGTATCTGATTATTACTAGTCATAATCGGTTGCACTAGGATCCTTGGTGCCTGTGTATGTCTATAAAGTCATTTCAATGGTAGATTTCAATGGTAATGTTTATCACCTCTACTAATTAATATGACATAAATTTCCATGCTTCCTCCTCAAATATAATGCATTTTAAAATTTTTGTTGATTTGTGTGTGTGTGTGTCTGTGTGTGTGTGTGTGTGTGTGTGTGTGTGTGTGTATCACACAGAACATCCCAAACCATCTTATTCAACTATATACCCACTTCCTAGATGGCACCCTCCTGTAGCCTCCCTCCCCCACTTGAGCCCTCACACTCTGATATCCCTGCTACTGTCTGCCACACCATCGACACCCCCAGACATTCCCCACTACTTGCCCTTCTGGTGAATCTAGTCAGCCTTTCTAGAGGTCTTTGTTTTAGAGCTATTCCTCTTCTAGGAGCAATCAGTTGTCAATACTCCTTTAGATAAGATTGGGGTCTGCTGTTCATTTTCCCAGTTCTATGCTGGATTACTCTCTGGGAGTCCCTTTGGCCACCCTGGCCAACAACTCAAAAGAAGGTATCTCCTATCTGGCATTGTTGCTTGTTATGTAGCCTTTAGCTATGCATATGGACTCTTAAGAAATTATATTGACCCCTTTAATCTTTGGTTATACTTTCCTTTTGGATGTTTAAGGAACATTATTTTTAAAGAGAAGAAAAACTGAGGAATGAATTGATCATAAAAAAGACACAGAAATGAGGATTAGCAGGATATAGAGACACATTCTTCAAAGATAAAGGAAGTGATGAGGCCATCTACCCCTTAGTGTTGTAGACAGAACCTTGGTTTAGTGTTGTAGAAAGAACCTTGGTTGCTCACGTGCTAGACAAGTATACTACCACTCACTGAGCAAGACCCTCAGTTCCTGGATAGGTTATTTTCTGAAGGGGAAGTAAGATTTCCTGACTTAAAAAACTACTTACCCTAACTGCCTAGCCAATTCCTACCTCCTAATCTTATTACACTGTCCTCTGATCCCAAAGAAAAGTAGCCAGTTCCTTGGGCCTCTTAGCAACACACTCTGTCCCAAAGGCCAAAAATATCAAAAGTATTTGGGAGCTCTTATCTAATCCTTAAAAGATTTTAGGGTTACCTCTTCAAAGGAGGGGATGTTAGATGTTAGAGTAGCAAAAAGCCAAGAAATAAATAAACAAATAAATAAATAAAGAGGGGGGAGGGAGGGAGGGAGGAAGGAAGTACAGGAAGTTGTCAGAAAAAAGTGATGGGCGATATGGGAGGTATTGGAGGGGAGGGAGTGGATGTGGATTTGGTCAAAACACCTTATGTGCATGTATGAAATTCTCAATAAATTTTTTTTAAGTTAAAAAACAAAACTACTCACAGAGATAATTCTGTCTTGCTCATTATGATGCGAGTCTCCTGGAATGATAACATATTTACAATAAAACGTGAGCAACAGATGGGAGGGCCTCACTCTTTGCTAATGCTTACCAGCTGAAACTGAAGGAATTTTCACTAGTGAGTCCTTCCTTCCAACACCTGCTGAGTCACCATGAAGCATTTCATTGTGTTTATTTATTTATACATCTCATATAATGTTTCTGGCAATTAGCATGATGTGGTATGGTGTATGTTCACTGTAATCACGTTGAGTTAAAACACAAGCCAAGGAGGCATGAGGGAAGGCAGGAGGGTGGGAAAGAGGCATGGAATGACAGAGGAGCTTTCAGGTCAGGGAACACTCCTGAATGAAACTGTGATGGAGGGCATGTGGCATTATACACCTTTTAAAGCCACAGGATGTAAAATAGGATGTAAGGCACACTGTGAGCCCCTATGAAAACTATGGACTTTAGTAATAGTACTCATTTGCATTGGCCCAGTAACTGGACCACGTTTACCACACCAATACCAAATGTAAATAATAGGGAAAACTGTGGAGAGGGGAGGAAAGAGAGCAGGTGGAGACTAGACAGTTTTGATTTACTTTTCCTATACTTTAAACTGCTCTAACCAAATAACACAAAAAGATGAATCAAGATAGTCTAGGTGTGATGGTCTTAGAATGTGTTTCTTCTAAGCAACAGAAAGCAGAGTTTAAACTAGAATATGTCAAAAGGTAAATGTGTTGATTGCTTCCATAAACCATGGGAAAGCATCAAGGAAATATGTAACCGGAGACCCAAACACTCTTTCCATCTTTATGACATAGCAGATTGACTTTCTTCATCACGCACAAACCATGGGGGCCAGAGGCTTCCAGGCTCAGAAGCTTTTTGCCTGCCACAGTGAGAAAGGACTCTTTCTTATCTAGTGCTTTATTAGAAAAATCCCCAGAGGTCACTTGATAGCTTGGCTTCACCTAACTACTATGGGGGAGGAATTTAGACTCCCATGAGTATGGTCCTGGACAAGGCAGGAACAAGTGGACAGCATGGGAATCTATGGCATTTACACTGGTCAGAGATAGGGTTTAGTGGTAGGCAGAAACATGGCACTGTCGGGCATAATCTGAAGAGGAAGCTCCTTGAATCATTAAGATGTTGAATGTAAGGTGTCAAAGAAACGAATGAGAATGACTTCAAAGTGTTTGTCTTAAGTAGCTCAAAATGGAGCTGCAGTTAACTGACCAGAAGAATAATATGGTGGCACAGGTTGGGAGATATCAAGTTCATTTTGTATAGATTATGGTCTATTATCCATCTAACTGGAGATGTCAAATGAACAGTAGTTGTACATGTGAGTTTTTCTCTGGGTAGCCATGGAGCATACTGTTTATTGGCTCTAATTCTGGAATATAAACTCAGTCTGTTCTGGGACTTTGCCTGTTTTGTTCACTGCTGTATCTCCACTATCTAGCAGTAGAATAGTCAGTAAAATTTACTAGAAAGATAATGGAATGAAAGAGAGAGTTAATTGTTCAGTAAAACAAAGTAGGATGATAAGAAGAGAGGACAGTAGGAAGTGCTCGTTTCAAAGTAAGATTGCTTGCATGGCTGTTACTAAGGAGAAGTCTACAAAAGTATATGTAACAAACATTCCTGATGAAGAACCATTTGGAATGAAGAGACACTTGCAAATCTTCTGTAAATTTTATTTTATATTTCATGGGCCACTGCCAACTCAGGGCCATAGCTTTTGGCTCATTTCTACAAAGTTACTTGTTAGAAATGTGGTAATGGTAGACATAAGAAATATTTCTTCTAGTAAACCATATTTTACTTACCAGTTCATGAACAAAATGCACACCGAAGCCTGTGTATTCAGATCTATTACTTTCTGAGCTTATAAAAATGCATTTTATATGCAAGAAACAAGCATCTTTAAAAAGACAACTATCAATAAAATGGTACGTACCTACGGCTTACTATAGGCATGTATGACATCCCAGTGGGAAAGTGAGATTTGACTACTAACTCAAAGAGGAGGAGTGTTTCTCAGCTCTAAAATTCAAGCAACTAGAACTTGATATATTTTACTTGTTATTGTTATAAAATATGACCCAAAAATTAGCTTAACTAATTTACCACCAATAATCTATCTGGTGAAGTCTGAAGCCTCACATAGAAACTCCCAGCAACATGACGATCTTGCTACCATATTAAGTTGAAGATTAGAACAAAATAATACTGGGCTGGAGATGTAGCTCAGTGCTAGAGCATATACCTAGCATGTGCAAGACCCTGGGTTCAATCACTAGCACATCAAAAAGGAAAAAAAAAACATGGAAAATATATATGGAAAAGTATAATACTTCAAACACTGCTTTGTCAAATACCCAACTTAACAAAATCCCATATTGTTGGCCTGTGGCTCATTCCCTTTCATGGTGCCGCCCATAATTTGTAGGGAGTCACAGGACTGCTGAGCACAGGTGATTCTTACGTGTGAAAACTGGCCAAGGTGGGCTGTGTAATGAACAATCATTTAGAAACCATTTCAAATATGTGCTTTGACACAACCACAGGGCACTCTGATTAATTACATTAAATTCATATGTACCATACATCACGCACATGAATACATGCCATAGAGACAATCACAAAAAATCTTGCTAAAAGAAATGTACAATTATTTATACATTAGTATACACACAATAAAGATATTTGCTATTCTCACAGTCTGTAAACATTTGGAAAAATGCCCAGTAGAGTCACTGTGGGCCCTTTGAAATGATGACCACGGGGGAGTTAGGGGTAGGATGGAGATTTAAATTCATATTAGAATCACAGAGGAATGGAGAGTCAAAGTTCATGGTGATTGCAAGTATGTTTTACTTGATATAATCAACTTATTTGGCCACTCTGAAATTGTTTCCTGTCTGGAAAAAGGAATGACCAAGAAAACCTGTAGCCAGTTATGACTTCAGAAGAAAATGAGAGTATAAAAGGGAATATCTATTTTATATATATGGGTTACTATTATGAAGCTCAAAATTCCCATGCCTTCAAAAATATTCAGTATTTTCCACTTAGAAAATGCTTCAGACTTCTATACCTTGCACAGAAAGTCTCAGGCATAGTTCAACAACACATTTAAATTTTAGAATATGGTTTTATGTTTTAAAAAACCTGACATTAAAAAAGATTGGGCTTATGAAAAAAATTTAACAATTTGACATTATCATTATTATTATTATTATTATTATTATTAGCAGAATTCCTCCATGTAGTGCAGGAAGCCTCTGACTCACAATTCTCCTGCCTCAGTCTCTCAGGTATTGAGATTATAAGCATGTGCCACCCTGTCCAGGTGCAAAGTATGATTTTTTTTAATTTATCATAAAATATGCTCAGTCTGGGTGTGATATTAAAAATATGCCTTTAATCTCAGCAATCAGAAGCAAAAGCAGGCAGACCTTTGAGTTCTAGGCCAGCCAGGGCAACACAGTGAGACCCAGTCTCAAAAACCAAAACCAAAACCAAAACAAAACACAAAAGGGCTCAAGATCTTCTATAACAAAACATCATTAAAAATATTCATAAAATATTCTTTGGACAGCAGCTATTAAACTGCTATCTTTGGTTATCAGTTTGTGCATTAAATGTCTGTATTTGCTGCAGCTCTAAAATTCATGTTTTACAAATAAAACAGTGACAAGCATCATTAACTTAATCGCTCATCTGAATGTTGTCACTTTCCTCCTCTTTCTCCTCCTCCTTTCCTCCTCCTCCTCCTCCTTCTTTAAAATTTATATGTGAATTAATGAAATAATCATTTCTAGGTCATTAAGCGGTTATGAAATACTGACACTGAAGGACATTTCAAAGAAAGGTAACTTAAACTCACAATGTGGTTGGCAAAAAAAAAGAAAAAGAATCTTGTCATAATCTCTAAACTCTTTGATTGTTTGTTTGTTTGAGACAGAGTCTCATGTAGTCCAGGCTAGCCTGAACTACCTATGTAGCCCAGGCTGGCCTTGAACTCCTGATCCTTTTGCCTCACTTCCCAGGTGCTGGGATTATAGTCATGTACTATCATGCTCAGCATAATCTCTAAACTCTTGTGATAACCAGTTCTCACCAAACATTCCACAGAATGGCCATGAAAGCTGGTAATGAACTTGCAAACTGTTTTCATGCAAAGATTGCAAGTATCATCTGGTTTCATTGAACACTCTCCATTTTTTACCTCTCATCATTCTTGAGTGTAGGATATGACCTGTAAATACACAAACTAAATAAATTACAGAAGAAACCTCCGTCAACTTTAGATAGACGCCAGTCCATTGGATACTGTTTGAGAAGACATCTGGAGAGCATTTTTTTCTGAGCCTGGGACTTAGGGAAGACCATACAAGAGAACCCGGGAGGCACAGCTAATGTGTGATTCTTTTTTTCCACCCGAATTCAAAGGCAGACTGATTGGCATTTCTGTATAGAGTTAGTTAATGCTGTCCTTATGGCTGCTCCTCTCTGTGTTGTGGTTATTTTGGTCATGGTTTTTCCACTGGATGCTTGTTCCATTCATGGGGACCGAGGTCATCAGACTGTTGGACTGGTGACAACAGCAACAGAGGCACGACTAGGGGAGAAAAAGAGAGAAAGGGAGACTGTTAATCAACAAGCCAGCCTACCAGTCTCTTCCCATTCTAGCCAGACACGCAGGCTTGGAACTCATCAATGAGAGGGCAGTGCCCATGGCCAACTGAGGGTAGTGAACCTGAACATTTCCTAGAGTTTGGGCCTGTCATGGCTCAACAGAGGATAAGCTGGCCCACAGGGAGCAAAGTTCTCTTGCTCCTCCTTTTAATTGTGTTCTCCATGTTTTAAGAGGAGTGGGGAGAAAGTGCTGGGTGGAGAGTGGGAAGGGTTTAGAAGGGCCTGCCTTTTCATCAGTACTTGCTCTTTATGTAGCTCTTGGTGTGAGACACCTCGCTGACCTGTACTGCAGCGCTGGGAGTAGGTGCTATTGATGCTCCGTTGTAAAGGAGGATAGTGGGGCTCAGAGCATAGGAAGAGTAGAACTTCAATTAAAAACCAGGGCTCTCCAGACTGGACTCTCTCTTAAAGGTGTTCCCTTAGGTCTGTGTTTAATTTCTGAGAGTTTTTAAGCTCATTCTTCTCTTTCCCATTAATTAATTAGCAAATGATAACTGCAGCATATGAAATATATTAGTTAGGACCTTCAAGTTAGTCAATCCATTTAGGCACAGCATTTTGAGACTTGTAAACATTTCCAAAAAGACCTTAAAGCTATGGCAGCTAAAGCTTCCATTACGAAGTTTCACCCATTTCTACCATCCTCTGGTTGATATGTCTCTCTCCTTTGGATTGTGAATACTATGTGAACAGTTAACTATGTCTGTATTTTCTTTTTAAAAATATCTTATTAGGGGGCTGGAGAGACAGCTCAGTGGTTAAGAACACTGGTTATTCTTGCAGAAGACATGGGTTCATATCCCAGCACCCACATGGCAGCTAGCAACTGTCTGTAACTCCAGTCCCATGGGATCAAACAGCCTCTTCTGACCTCTGCAGGCACTGCATGACATGGGTGTACTTACCTACATGCAGGCAATACACACATACACATAAAATAAAAATAATAAATAAAAAATTAAAAAATTTATTATTATTAATTTTTTTTCTTTATTTTTTCTGAGACAGGGTCTCCCTGTAGCCTCAGCTGGCCTGGAACTCACTATGTAGACCACACTGGCCTTGAGCTCACAGAGATCTGCCTGCCTCTGCCTCCTGAATGCTGGGATTAAAGGCATGTGCCACCACACCCAGTATGTTTTATTATTATTTTTATTTTACGTGTATGAGTGTACTCTTTGCATGCAGGTCTGTGCACCCATGTCATACAATGCTTGCAGAAGTCAGAAGGGGGCCTCAGATTCCCTGGAACTGGAGTTACTGACGGTTGTTAGCCATCATGTGGGTGCTGGGAATTGAACGTGGGTCCTTTGCAAGAACAGCCAGTGCTTTTAAGCACTGAACCATCTCTCCAGCCCCAATGCCTATGTTTTCATTCTGTGCTCTGAACATCAGTCAACTCATGCTGGGCACTTACTGTTTCAGGAGTTTTACCTATATATTAGGCCATTGAACTCTACTTAACAGATAGCTGCTTTGTTCATCTAGTTTTCAGATGAGAAAACTTAGGAAGCCAGAGAGGCACCAATCACACCTGGGTAAGACCATTCCCAAATGCAGAACTGTGGTGTCAGTCCAGGTTGTTTGTTGTTGGGGCTTACACCCTTGACCTCTACTCTGTTCTGCCTAATATGAGCTAAATTTAGATATCTTGGTCCAAAATAACACAATCCAATTAACATTAGGTCCATGCTAAAGTCATCTCAGAACTAGAAAGTGATACATCAATAGACAGGCTTTGAGCTCCTGTTGGCTAGTTTGGAAGGGGGTTTGAAAACAAGAAAGCCGACTGTATATGAAATTACAAACATCCAAAGCAGTATTTACTTTCCTTTAAAAGGCTGTTATTAAATGTACTATTTAATTGCCTTGAATGAGAGCTTTCTTAACAGCAGAATGTGGCTGAGACTGTGGTTTAAGTCCAAGACAATGAAAGGTGTGAACTGGTTTTATGTACTTAGAATGCCTGGAGCTTGTATTTGAGCATTCCTTTTGAAAACAGTCCACTAAACCAGCATGTAATTAAGTTGGCTCCTTTGGTTTTAGCCTTTGAATGTGTACTCTGAATACATACTGCTCTTCTGCCATGCTGACAATCTGAGCCTCTTTCTAGGTAACATGATGTGTTTTGTGTTTTTTTTTTTTTTTCAATTCTTGACTGAAAAGGAGCATGTCTGATCAAAGTAGTAGTAAAACTGCAGTTGGTTGTGCCTGTTGGGTGCTCAGCATACTAATTTGACTGTCCTTAGAGAATGCTTCCAACCAGCCTTACCTGGAAACAGTTTTTGAATTTCTTGCTCACAAAATATAGAGCTATAGGATTTATACAGGAATTCATGGTTGCCAAGTTGATACCGATATAATCCATGAGCAGCAAAAAACTAGAGTAAAAGAAAATAGTGTAATTAGAACTTATTGTTTTAAAATATGCTAAGTAGCATTTAGCCCCAAGATCAGCACTTTTCTTACCCAGAAGCCATGTCTTATAGGTGGCAGTTAAAATTTTGTCAAAAATGCTGCAGGAGAGTTAGTTACTTCAACTCCCTGGTTAGAGGGAATCCCTGTGCACAGCCTCAGGAGGGGAGCGGCAAGATTATTCACATGACTTGTATAAATTTTGGGATCAGTTATGGGCTGTGTCAGCTAAAAAATAAAATCAACTTTGCAATTTTAATTTTATCAGAATGTAGAGTAGATGTAAAAATTTTATAAATTTGAAAAGCTGAGAAACTCCAATTTCCTAATGGGCACCCAGAGTCATACCTAAGTAATTCACATCGGTTCTTGTCCATCTCATCATACACGGTTTTCTTCAAAATGCGGCTTAAATGAAGAGGGAACCAGCATAGAGCAAAAATGACAACCAAGCAGAAAACAGTTTTTGCCACTTCTCGACGCTGAGGGAGAGTGAGGAAAAACAAGGGTAGTAAGTTTAGTGTTTTTGTACTGGTTGCAACAACCATGTAACAGAGGGAGGCAATCTCAGGGAAGAGCTCATAGGACCTCTGCTTTTTCTTTTTCCTTCTTGAGACAGGGTCTCATTGTGTAGCCCTGTGCCAACACGCCCATCTGAGGACCTCTGGTTTTTAAGATCTAGAGAGCAACTTTCTCAAGGAGGAGCTGCTAACCAGGATTTTGGGCAGCTGCCAGGAAGCGTAATGTCCTCAGACTGTTGTGAGGGTGACAGGAGAGGTTTTATGCCAGGAAAGGGTGGGAACCGGCTGCAGTTAATCAATGCTGGGGCTGAGTGTGAGCATGCCTGCATGTGTGTTTGTGAGGAGTATGGATGGGTAGAGGGTGAATATCCTGGAAGAAAAAGTTAGTTAAAAGCTCAATAACAGGTAAGTTTTAGTAGTGGCATGGTGGGCAAGGTAACAGAGCATGGTAGGAAAATGGGTAAGTCTACTTCCTTACATAAAAGTAGGGGAAAAATGGAAAAAGCAAAAGCAACCCTGATCCTCCTTTTCTTGATCTCAAAGCTATCCTTGAAAACTTCTTTCTTATATTTGTTATTGACTTATGTCTTCTGAGACAGAGCCTTGCTCTGTTGCCTTGGCTGGTCTTGAACTCCCGGGCCTAAGAGATCCTCTTGCTTCAGTCTCCCTTGTGTTTAGATTAGAATGGTCTACCACCATTCCAGGGTTGATTTTTTTTTTTTTTAATGTTTCAAAATTCCTTTTTAATGACATGTAGTTTCCAAAGATCTACTGTTTGCAAACAGAAGGATGAGGGTAAAGGGTTATCAGCAGTTATGGTTATAAGAACTGGAACATGCTGAACATGGACTGATTCCAACTGATGCTTCCCAAGCCTTTGAGTCTGCTCATGACCAGAATAGCCATACATCAGAAATTATCTACATCCACTCATCCATGTTCCTATTCCTGAAGTGTATCACCCCACATGCATTTAGAAGCCTAGCTAGGGACATAAAATGTAACCTGTCTGTAACTGGGACCAATTAATGTCAAGATAATACTGACTGAAAACAGGTTGGAAAGACGATGCTGGCTCCATTAGAACCTTCAGGAAGTCTGTTTAGCTGAGCCATCCAGGGAAGGCTTGGGGACAGTTGTCATTAATTGCTGCTCTTTCCCAAAGAACTGTGAACTTTTAATCTTCTATAGTTATGGGGTTTTGGGATATGACCCCTGAATGATGATTTCAGGAAAGAAATAAAGCATTCCAATCTGCAGGAATTGGGGCTTCTTAAGGACTTATTTTATGTACCAGAAAAGGATTAAGGAAAGCACTGAGGAAACGATAAACTTCCCTGTGCATAACTTCAGAGGATAACTCTTTCAAAAGGCAATATTAATACATTCCATGGCATCTGGTATTTATGTAACCAACATCCAATCTCCTGTCTCCGTGCTATCACTCAGATCCCTGATTGTGTTCTGGCAGCTGAGGAAGGGGATAGCCTGGTCTACTCACCTACACTGCCACCCTAACAGTTCTGACACATTATCTTAATTGGAAACTGTTGTGCAGTTCCCTGGACAAACCATCTGAAAGTGAGGGGAAAGAGAGCACTGGTGAGACATTGAAGTGTCCCATGTCTTTCTCCTTTTGCTGGAAGGCAGAGATGAAGGTAGAGTTCACTGCTGTCATCCAGTGCTGAAGAAGGAACAGTAAAACAACAGGCACCCGGCCTCTAAGTTTCTTTGAGTACGAAAGACCTTCACTGTACCAGAGGCATCTCAGCTTTTTGCACTGAGATAAAGAGAATGACAAACCCATACTTGCTCAACACTTACTTTGGGTTTCCTGTTACCAGAATCCAAACACATCCCTAGCTGATGATAATACTGTTATTATAATGATGAGAAATTAGACAACCAGACAAGAAACAAGAATAAGAGCCTTTTAGAGCATCAGTAGAAGAGCGGCTATGCTTTCTACTGCATGCTAGCTCTCCCATAGTCCCACTGAAAGGCTTCAGCCTTGCTTTGCTACTCTTACAGATTTGAGTATTATCAAAGCAAACATCAACTGCATGAGATCAAATCTTGGGTTCTAATTTCCATTGGTAGAGTAAGTCTTTAAACCATCAATAAATAGGGGTAATAGCTGTCCTATCTATCTGTACTTGGAGGACTCCAATAAGAAAAAGGCATAGGGAGCTGGAGAGATGGCTCATCTGTTAAGAGCACATGCTGCTTTTGCAGAGGACCTGGGTTTGGCTCCTAGCACTCGGACATAGCAGCTAACACATATCCTGCACTCCAGTAACAGGGGATTCTCTTTTGACCTCTGTGGCCACGTATGTGGTGTACTTACATATACGCAGGCAAAACACCCATATGCATAAAATAAAAAATAATTTAAAAAAATTTTAAAGAAAAAAGAAAGTTGTTTAAAAACCTTAAAATGCATTCGACCATAAAGAGCAAAATTATGTCAGTTGCAGGAAAATATATATAACTGACGATCATTAGTTAAGAGATACAGCACTATTGCATATTTTGTCTTATGGATCGTAAATTTTACATAGACAGAGACACACACAGACACACACAGACACACAGACACACACAGACACACACACATGCACATATGGGAAAATGCTTCTAAGAATTTCTGGGAGACTGAAGGAAGTAGTGAAGGGGGAGAAAAGAGAGGTTGAGGGGTTAGATATGGTTACAGTATGTGATATATTTGTATGAAGGTGTCTTCAGGAAACCCATCACTATGTATAATGAATATATGCCAAAGAAAAAGGAGAATGAAAATTGAATATAAGAAAAAAATACCATGTAAGTGTCATCATTCCTAATCTCTATTATTATTTTCAAAGCAGGCACTACTCAGAGCTTAGACTCAATCATGGCACTAATGCAAAAAAAAAATCAGCATTTAAAACACCATTTTTCATAAATCCATTGTAATTAATTTCATCCATTGCACAGGAATTAGTAATAGCTTAATATCTTTACATGTGAAATATTTGAAACATTCATGCCCAAACAAATTCATGGTAAAGTTTTTTAATGTAATCATTACTCAATGTCATTAAAGGGTAATTGCTACCATTTGTGGGACACATTATATTTTACAAAGCACACATATATACATCACTTGCTTTGATTCTCATAATAGCACTGATTCATATGTTATTATGGCCAATTTGCAGATGAGGAGTTGAAGCCCAGAAAATCGGTACAGTAGTTGAAGAGGTCTGCTAATGGGGAATGTACTTATCATATAATTATCCTGTATGATAATTCTATTTCTTTTCCTTTTCTCCCCTTCCTTCCTTCCTTCCTTCCTTCCTTCCTTCCTTCCTTCCTTCCTTCCTTCCTTCCTTCCTTCCTCCCTCCCTCCCTCTCTTTCTCTCTCTCTCTCTTTCTTTCTTTCTTTCTTTCTTTCTTTCTTTCTTTCTTTCTCTCTCTCTCTCTCTCCCTCTTTCTCTCTCTCTCTCTCTTTCTTTCTTTCTTTCTTTCCTTCCTTTTTCTTTCATCTTTTTGAGATAGTATCTCTCTGTGGCCCCAGCTGACCTGGAGCTTTCTATGTAGACCAGGCCTCACAGAGCTCCACCTGCCTCTGCCTCCCAAGTGCTGGGAGCAAAGGCATGCACCACCATGCCAGGCACTTATATGATAATTCTATAGCTAGCTTTAGAGACTCTACATGGCTTTTGGTGTGGCTGAATGCTCTCATTTACTCCATGGCTACCAAGAATTCATTTGCAATCTTATTTTTACTCTCTGAATTGATATAAATTAATATTTGCTGAGCACCTACTAGGAACTGGGCACTATTATGTACCTTTGGAAATCCCCAAATACAATACTATATACGTCTTATAAGAAACTAGAAGCTTAGAGATGTTAAGTAATCTATCCAAGGTCCCATGGCTGGGACATAAGAGAGTCAAGTTTTGCCTTCTGAAGCACCACAGTGTACACATCTGTTCTAGTTGCTGTCCAGGGGGCACCAACATTAGCTCCCTGCTGGCAAGTTCAGATTCCTTCTAGAACTTTAGGCCCTCCAAGATGTTAGCTCTTTCTATGTTACCTCTTTCTATTTAATTCTATTTCCTATTGAGTCTTATATAAGATGTTGATCTAATCAAATTCATGTCCACTTCTCCACTCCCGATGTGCCTGGTGTCCATTCCATTTCCTTCTAAGGTTTTAATCCTTCCAACTGCTTCTCCGTCAAATGCCGTTTATTCTCATTCTTCCTCATTTTTTTTTTTTACAGTTTCTCCATAATTCCATCTCATGCACATCCTGGCTTTGTATAGTACAGGCTACTTGGACCACACTTCATTCTATTTACTGCTTTGTGTTTGTTTTTTATTCCTATGAGTGGACTATAACACCCACAAGGGAAGAAAGTCATATGCTTCTTTCTGCCCCGGCATAGCTCCAAACCCATTTTCATGCAGCGACATCCATATATACACATGCTCAGTACACTTTTGGCAAAATGACTGAACAGTTACTCTCTTTAAGCCCAGCCTCCTAGGGCCATCTGTTTCACAGGCAGGATCCCCTTTTCACAAAAGGAATTCCTAACACTGTATAAAGAAAACAGTTCTAAGAGAGTGTTTTTATTCTTTGGAAATCAGGATAAATCTGTTATATACAATGTGATTATGTGTCACTTACAGACAGAGATCTATTCTGAGAAATGAGTAGCTAGGCAATTTTATCACCGTGCAAACATCATAGTGTACTGTCTACTCACAGGCTATGTGGTCTAACCTGTTGCTCCTGGCTACCAATCTGTAAAGCTTATTACTATACTGAATACTATAGACAGTTGTAACACACTGGTATTCACCTATCAGAACATACTTGAGCATAGAAAAGATAACAGTAGGAATTCTAGGCAATATGGTTTATTTTTTCAGTTCCGTTTTTTAAAAATATTTTTTATTTATTATTTTTATTTTATGTGTATGCGTGTATTGCCTGCAAGTAGGTAAGTGTACCCGTGTTGTGCAATGCCTGCAGAGGACAGAAGAGGCTATTGGATCCCCTGGAACTGGAGTTACGGACAGTTGTTAGCTTGGGATTTGAACCTGGGTCTTCTGCAAGAACAACCAGTGTTCTTAACTGCTGAGCCATCTCTCCAACCCCTTTTCAGTTCCATTTTAAACTTACAGAACCACTATCATATATACAGTCTGATGCTGACTCATAGGCCTGCTGATTTCAAAACAGTCTTGGGCAGGTTTTCATGAACTTTGTTAATTTACCTGTTTGAGATGTTCACTGAGGGCAATTCTCAAGCTGCCATTCCTTCTATTCAGCATCTCACAGGTCATGAGGGTGTAGAAGATTGCGGTACACACCAAGGGCATGCAGAAGTAGAAGCCAAAGAGCCACCAGTCCTTCGCATCTTGGTAGAACTGTCCAGTGAGGAGAAAGGGAGAGACAGAGTCTGTGATGATAGAACCAAATGTGCGAAACTTCTGCCCACATCACAATCTTCATGCTTGGGGATAGAATTCCATATATCCTCTTTGATGGCAGTAAAGAACTTGCATTGGGCTCAGAATTTTTTATTTTTATTTTTCAATGCTGGAAATCAAACCCAGGGCTTTGAAAACCCTTGCTAGGCAAGTGCTTTACCACTGAGCTTTATCTCCAACCTATTTTTTGCCACTTCAGAAATTATTCTGGTTTTATAATAACTTATGAAATTGCATACTAACAATTATCAAACTACCCAGATACTTTCAAAAGGCTGAGGTTGACTTTAGTTACCAAACAGACGAGCTCTAATCAGTAAACAGAATATCCTCTTGGAGCTAGAGAGATGGCTAAGCAGTTAAAACCGCATACTGCTCTTGTAAAGGACCTGAGCTAGGGTCTCAGTACACACATCAGGCAGCTAACAATTGCCTGTTACTCCAGCTGGGATCTGATACCTCTGACCTCCATGGGCATCCACATACATGGTCATATATCCCAACACAGACACATACACACATAATTTAAAAATAAAACAAATGTTTTAAAAAAAAATTCTCTCTTAAAGCTCATAAAACATGATTTGAGACTTTTTATCTTTGTTAATTGATGAGCCTCAAAATTTTGTTAAGGCCTTCAGTTGACTTTTGGTTGTTGTGGTTAAAGTGTACTTTATATAAACATGTTGTCTGAGAACAGCAAAGGCTATAAATGAATGGCTTATCTGTGTAGCTTTGGTTAATGGGAGTTAACCCTTTGCCTGGTATGCCTGCTATGTGACCCCAAAGCCAGCCAGTCCAGTCATTAACTTCACGCTCTCTCTTTTTTAAATACTTGCCACCTGGAAACTATTGAGGCAGGATACTTTATCTGAAGGCTGACTTAGGAGTATTAGCTCTCCATGGGCAAGTTTTTGTAAACACTCAGATTAATCAGTTTTATGTCTTTTTAAAGGAGAAAACTTTTTAAAACATAAAAATCTTTAAAAAGATCTCCATTTCATTTTAGAATATATTGTTCCTAGCAGAAAGATGCTACTAACACATGTTTGCACATGTGTCTTTAATCTCTATGTATCTGATTATAACTAGTCACAGTCGATTATACTCGGCTACTTAGTACCTGAGTATGGATGTAAAATCATCAGGTAGATTTCAATGATAATGTTTTTCACCTCTACTAATTAACATGAAGCAAATTTTTATGCTTTTTTTCAAATACAACT